TATAACTGATAAATAAATGGATTTTACATTTATTATCACTTTTATAATGTATTTGTTAATTTCACACAACATACACTTTTTTATAGCCACAAAAAATAATTTGGGTTCTCTCTAATTACAGATTAAGATAAACGAAACCTTTTTTTATCTAATTCTAATATATCATATTTAAAAATATATAATATATATAAATTACATATTTAATTAATTCAACAAAATATTTATATTTATATATTGAATTAATTAAAAAAGTATTTATACTTAATTAATTTAATAAAACATTTATATTTATATGTTCAATTAATTTTCGAAAATACTTATGCTTATTTAATTATAGTTGAAAATATAGGAAGTGCAAGAAAATCGCATTACTCATAGGATGACCCAATGCTCCGAAGAATTTTATTTTCCCATAGAAATCCGAAGTTCAGTCGTCGATCATTAGATTTAATTGGCAAATAAACGATCGCAAGTACAAGTGGAAGGTACCGAGCATGTACTTATGTTCGTGAGTCAACGCGTATCGATTGTGCGCCTATAATAATGTAGGGTACGATAAAACGCGACGAATTTATGCCGGGATCAGTATAAATACTTGCTCGCGCAAGATACAAGCTGGCGTATTATTACGTTTACGTTGGATACGTGCCTAAAGGCGCCACTTCATCGTCGAGCTTCTGCTCAGTTCTCGGCTGGCAGATTTTCTGCTCCAATTTCGCTCCCATCGCCGCCTAACAGGCAACGGTCTCTCGTTTGGTGACTGCTGGACGCATTGTCCTCTACCCTTTTTTTCCATCCGTGCGGCTTTATCAAAAAAATCTGCAGCGCTGTTTGAAGAATTGCGCCAGCTTGCAAAATTCATTCATTTATTTTTGTTAGGACAGTGTGCACGGATCGATACGTATCAACGTATTTATATAGCATGTTGTATTTTGATTGTTATCCAGGAAATGATTTTATATTTTATGTCTTACGGTATGTTTAAATTTGATTCTGAGTCAATAAGAGTGTAATTTATTAAACCCGACAAGTTTATTATTTATTTATTTATTTAGTACGCAAAATTGATTTATTTTGAGTTTTTTTCGTGGGAAAATGAATTTGAAATAGTATAGAATTCATTTATTTTGAAATTTTTCTGTTATCAAAAAATTAGTTTAAAAAAATTCGGAATATGCAGATATTAAACTATATGAAACAGTGTAAAACTTAGTTATTTTGGAGAACAGTGCAGAATTCATTTATTTTGCAATTCCTTAGTTTACAAATGGATGAATTTAAAAGAACATCTGGGGTATGCGGAAAGAAAGTATGTAAAATTGTACAAAATTCATTCATTTTGAAATTTCTTTTTTATAAAAGAGTGAATTTAAAAGAAAATTTGGGATTCAGTTTATACTATACAATTTTTAAGGGACACGTGCATACAATTTTTTCTCTTTTTTTCTAAAGACTGGAATGCTTTTAATGCAGCACCAATTTGAACCGCAGTACTTTGTATTTTCGTGAAGTTTTCAAAACCTTTTTGCTACAGATATATTTAAAATGGACTTTTCCATGAAACGTGAAACTTTTTATTCAAAAGTTTATAGTTACTACAAAAATCACTTTTAAAAATAATATATTCCATTTAATATTCAGTGTTATCTTATAATATTTTATTTTACTGTGAACGTGAGGATTTGTCCTCCATTATTCAATACGATCATCGCGTTTTTTTAAATCTAACTAATCGCTGAAATTGAATTTAAAATTCATTTCCTCTTAATAGATAATCGCTGTTTTTACTGCACCGATGACTGCTTAAACAATAAACAGCCTTCGGGGCATCAAGACTCACGTCATTATTATTATGCTTGAATAACGAGTAGTATGAATGTAAATTAGTGAAATCGTTAACGAGTATAATTATTATTATCGCTCGTTAATATATACACGTGGACATAGTCCATTACTCTTGTACCCGACAAATCTTTAAATTCATTTCTTCCTTTCTTTTTTTTAATATTTTTTTATAAATCTGAAGCCGATAACGTTATCAAAAAGAACACACCTTACTGATTTCGTTATTTTTGGTACATGTTATCAAGATCAACATTGAAAGCAATTTCACATATAACCGCAGTTCGACTTTAATTATCGAAATATTCATAAAAATATTCTTTAAGTTCCCTAGTTTGATTTTAGGTTTAAATTTTTGTTTAAATATAAAAATAACTACATTTTATATTAAACTTTATATTGTACTATTATTAATAGAAATTGGAAAAATTTCAGCCATTATATAAAAAAATATTAACGCATTGAAGTTTTGTTAATTATATACCTACAGTTTGTATTAAATCAAGTGACAATTGAAGTGCAAACGATTAAAGAGCAAACTTTTTCTTTTCAATATTTCATATATCAATGCATTATACAGAGCTTAACATTAAACATTAAATTTTAAAATTTCATACGTATTAAATCAAGTGGAAATTGATGTGCAAAGGGTTGTAAAAATGGCTGGTGCGCAATTGAATGTGGTTGCAGAATCGGAAACTGATTGTCCAATCGATTGCACCGTTCGTCCGGTTGGTAGATCTAAAATTTTCTTTCATTTTCCGTTGACCGCTGCGGAAACATGATCATTTTTGCCGGAATAACAAGACATTTCGAATCGGTTCGCAGCGTTCCCTTCGCATTGACCTAATTCCGGCGGCGAGGCCTGGATCCACGGGTATTATTATCTCAGCGGCGCCATTATACTCCGGCAAACATCATCCAGTTCAGCGACCAAGTTCTCCGTTCACTGTCAAACATTCTCATCGAAAAATACTTGTTTATTTAGTCCTGAAGAAACTTACTCTGTTTGTACTACGTTGTTGGGCCGCGAGACCAACGTGCACTTTAACCAGTTAGCTGTGTTTGACGAGTATCCTCGTTGTAACACGAAATCTTGCCGTTTCTTCGTGACGAGTATACTCGTCAAAAACAGCTAACTGGTTAAGCGAGAGACAGGTTGTACGTGACTCTGTGCACGAGGTCTGTAATCGCGAAACAAAGTATGCGTGCTCTCTTTCATCGTCGTTTAGACGCGTTTGCCGCGGCCACTTCGATGTTGGACGGTAGCTACGACCTAGGCGCAGTTAAATCTGGGTTAACCGCGAGATTTTCTAACGGCGGATGCGTTCGATTCAGCCGTGGAATCAGGTCGAATGCGTCAGGAATTCATCGTAGAACCGATTCTACCGCAGCATCTCGCGTTTCTCTGCCAGATTGACGCTTCTGGGAACCGGTGTACGGTAGTAGGGTACAGAGGGGCTAAACATCCGGCGGTTAAGAAGTGAACTCTTAATCTTTTATATTTCAAATAGATTTCATCAGGACTGAGTTCGGTACCATGAAATAATAAAAAGTCTTTTGATCATGTTAACCAGTTAACTGTGGAAGTTAGTTGAAAAAACCTCTGGTTCTGCGCGCAATAAAATCGAAAAATGGAGCGTGTACTCGTCGAACGTAGGACGAATGCACGTAGAGTATATTTTAATGAAAGATCAAAGGGAAACAAAGAAGAATTATATGTTTATGTTAAAAAATAAAGAATTCATCGCTGAAAGAATTGGTATCATGTCAAGCTTTACGATGACGTATATACTCGTCAGACACAGTTAACTGGTTAAAATTGCAGTAATAATAAAAGTGACTTCAAGTATGTGTATACTATTTTGTGGATTTTGCACATTCAGGTTGAAGTTGTGCTTGTAATAATAAATTGTAGTATTTGATTTTGCATTTAATCCTTTCGCTATAATGGACGAGATATCTTGGTTCCGCGATTGCGAAGAAACGATGCTACGAACGAGATATATCGCGTATCTTTATTATTGATATGAAGTCTTTTATTTGAAAACCTGACACGAGTAATCGATTTTTAACATATGTTATCGTTGGTGGAAGATGCTTAATGATGATAAATATTAAATACTCATTGGCACTACATTTGAGAAGGTAAGGTTAAAGTTACTGCAACTGAAATTTTCTTCATTGCATATTTACCGTTTGTCCTGCTCGGTTAAATTCTACTTCTGGGACCCGAAATTGTAGAATTTAAGCGAGCATTACTATATCTCGTCTGTTATAATTGTAGAAAGAAGACATCAAGAATGTATCATTTTTACCAGTCTGGTAGTTTTAGTGTTAAATTATTCATTCACAGCTTTCGATTTTAGATCCAGGGGTTAACTCTTCGGCATGTACAAAACCTTCAACAAACGAAGCTAAATTACACATCGATTGCTTAATACTAGAACTACTGAACGTAAAGTCGACATTTCCAAACTTGTCTATAGGAACTCTAAGAATACAACCACTGAGATTTCAATTGACTCATTCAGTTTGAGCATTATTAAATCAATTTCTTTAATAATTCCACAGAGAAGCATCTGCTATCTTTTTAATAATCGGGAAAGAAGAATGTACGAACGGGTGAATTTGACCCATCTGGTGGTTCTAGTGTTAATTAATAAAAGAGAAAACTACGTGCTGATTTGAACATTTAACAATTGTTTTCGAAACTGGCGTCGCCAATATGGCGACATGTTCCTTTGCTCTGCGTAGTGTTATTCTATGATCGAGAAGTATTATATTTATTATTCTTTACAGAATCTTTATTCAACAAAGCACATTAACTTCAACAAATGTTTAATATCCATATATTTATTATAAACCACCTATCGAAAAATAACTTTGAGAATATACATACTTGCTTCGATCAGTTGCTGCTGTCACCGGTAAAATGCCGATCGTACAGAGTCAAATCATTTGTTTGCGACTTAGCCTTCCAAATATGAGCATCTCGTCTCGCCGAAATGCCGACATTTGTCCGCAAAGGGTTAATTCAGTCCCCAGTCCACTTTCCTCCCCTCCATCTCGCTCCAGCAAAGCTCGACACGCAGGAATTCTGTTATTGTCGATCCGCCGCGTCCTTCTCGGACTTCCTGTAACAGTCCTCGCTGTTCGGGTTATATACCACCTCCCTTCGGTGCGTGAACTTGCACCAGTTGCGCCGCGTACCTCATCGTGAACCGAGTTGCAGCCGCCAGTTAGGCCTGGCTCGTCCGCGCGCTCGTTTCTCCCCGTGTCTGGACATGGTCCGCGTTTCCTCGGTCCAATCTCTCGCCGATCCGTGATCATCATCATCCCGTGTTGTCGACCGTCGTCGGTGATCATGCTGCCAAGATTCTAATCGTGCGATTCTCGCGACCAGTGTGGCCTGTGGACATTTTTCGAAAAGTGTGTGTTTCCTCTTTGCGGTGTGTTGCTTCGGACAGCCGCGGCGGGTGGATGCGAGATAGAGGATGCCTGGTAACGTGGACTACGAGGAGGTCAGACGGATTCTTGAAATTCTCTCTTGTACAGGGTGTCGTGGAAGTCTGTTGCGACACTTTGATCGTTTACGAAGCGTTTTTTGACCGTTAACCACTTGCGCTGGCAACGAATTGAGAAACTCGACAGGATCGAAGAAGTTTGTCTTCGCATATTATGTACAGATATGTACACAAATGTCGTTTACCAATAATTTTGTACGAAGTAGTAGATTTCAGAACAATCTGGAATATGTAATCCAATAAGACTATTGACGTGTACAACATGTCGGTAATTTTCGGGCAGAATAATCAGGACGTGCGTAACACGTCTTTCCATCGCAAGTGGTTAATGGTTGAGGATTTTCTGGTAATCCTTTGCACTCGTCGTCATGCTGGAGATGACAAATTTGTTATAGGATGATGGAAATTGTTTGGAAAAGTACTACAGTTTAGAAGATTGTAAAAATTCTATCTTGTTGTAATAGTAATGAATGAAAGATATATGAAACGTTGAATTTTACTGCTGTAAATTACTTTGATGCATTTTCATGAAAATGAATGCAAGTTTATCGATAATATTGAAAGGAAATGAAGTGCAAAGGGTTAACTCTTTGCTGACGACACTGTTTTAATCCTTTGCCTTATGGTGTCTTTCTCAATTGTGGTCAACAGAGATATTTTGTTGTTTATAATTCATTAGGAAAATAGAAAAATTTGACACTTATTCTGTGTCTATGTTTACTCGCACTTGAAAGAATCAAGTGATATTTATATTTGTTGAATTCTATTTGAAATCTTTGCTGCTAGTCTGACACGATGTGAGGCAAAGGGTTAACACGTTGGCTACCGAAAAGCCATTAGTAAACCATATAGTACCATAGGACCGGTGAGTTCCATGGTACAAAATGAATATTTATTTAGACTGTACCATGGAACACTATTCATTTCTGTAATTTAAACTTCTATAATTAAAGATTACTGGAATACAAAATTTTAAATAATTAGAAATTACTGAAATAAAAAATATTAAATCGTTAGGAATTATTGAAATTGTTCTGGGAGGGTTGACTATGAAACTGAAGTCCCAGAGATGTTTCTTAAATTATATTACCATGTTTGGTACAAGTAAAATGTTGGAGGTACCCTGTGAACATTTTAAATCAACTCGACTTATTTTCTTCTAAAATATTAAAATTCTGTCGTGTAAGCGACAAATTTGAAACGCGTTGGAATTCGCATCTCGAGTTAAGGGTTAGCCGCAGTGAAATGTTAACCGAGACTGTGAGGCCGAGTTCTAACGGAAGAGACACGGAATTGTTGCACCGGAATGCTCTCAGTCGTGGGTTACTTAGGACCCGAATGCATTTGATACTCGCTCGTTGCAGAGTGCGAGATGTTTCGACGATCGTGTTCAACCCTCTGCACTCGTATGTTATGCTGAAGAGAACAATGCAAATTTGTTATAGAACGTTGGAAATTGTTTGAAAAAGTACTACACTTTAGAAGATTATAAAAATTTAATCTTGTTATAATAATAATAAATAATATAAGTATAAAACGTTGAATTCTACCGCTGTAAGTTACTGTAATTCATTTCTCTAGAAAGAAATACAAGTTTCCATCGAACATTGAAAATAAATCGAGTGCTCTGGGTTAAACGAAGAAGAATTTGTACTGGGAATTTGCTGGGAATTAAATTATACATCAGCAGTGATAGGTGTTTAACAATCGAACATACAAAATATTGTTACATTAAAATCTTGATAAATGCAGATTTCGATTGCCAACATAAAGTTTAACTCTTAACTGTCGAATTGTCTCAATAGACAGTGTTTTATTTTTATTTATATCATTTTATTTATATTTTTAGTTTTTAAATAACTTTACGTATGTACAAACACCATTAAAAATTCATTGATCGTAAAACGAGAATGTTAAAGTCTATTCACTGATGTGGTAGTGCTGGTGTTAAATCTGTAATGGCTGCCGAAATTGTAGCTGCTATCTTGCGCCAAAACGAGGAGCCGGTGAAATGACTTAAACATTGAGGTCACGGTGCCATTAGAAGCAAGTACGTTGACTCAAACTAAAACAGTTCGGAAACAGTATTTTAATTTAACATATATTATGCAGACTGTTCATAAATTACCTAACGTTTTTTTCATTTTCTCATCAATATTATTGAAGAAAACAACATGTTTCATTTTGTGATTCATATAATTCGTTAATTAGAAGTGTATTAAGTAGATTAAATATATTATTTATATTATATTATTTTGCACTGCTAATTATTACGCTAATTTATTCTCAATTACGAAATATATATATTTTGTTCATGTACAAAACTCGTCATCTTACATAAAGGGTTAATAATATCTAAGCAAGTATAAAGAGAAACGAAGTTTTCTTGACGAACGACATAAATTTCTGGTATTATTAATGTTCTTCGAGCTTTGTGAAAGCTTGTATTTCATGAAAGTATCAAGATAAGTGCATTATTACGCAATAATCGTGAAGGTCACGCGGGAATCAGAGGCGAAAGAAAGATTTCGAGCATTTCTTATCATTCACTGATATTCTTCATTACCATGTTTACATAAGGTGTTTGGACTGAATGATGTAACATTATTGTTAGAATTACAATATTTTTATCTTTATTCTTCGTACAACGAAAACAATTATGCAGCAATTCACTTAATAACCCGAAGGCCTCGGGTTATTAAGTGAATTGCTGCATAATTGATTAGCATCTAAAAACTTCAAAATAATATAAAACGTAAATTCCTGTATCGTTCGACGTAGCAAACTTCTATTTTTAATTCTCAAAGAAACCATTCTCGAAGAAAATGCTATTCCATTTTATATTTGTACAATCATTATCACTCTGCAAAACGTTACGTTCAAAATACTTATGAAAATCTTTAAAAAATTATAAAATAGAAATTTGCATCTAATAACTGTATCTACATAATGTTTGTTTAATTTTCAAGGAAACCACAAGGAAAATATAATTTCATTTGATATTTATACAATCACTCTGTGGTTTCCTCCTGTTTGTGCTACTCGGTGAAATTCCACTGCTGGGACCCGAAATTATGGGATTTAACCCCTTGCCTTACAATAACGTGTCAGACTCGTGATGAAGATTTTAAGCCAAGTTTAACAAACATAAATATTACCGAATTCTTGTGAATTCAAATAAAATATTATTCTTTTGTTATCAATTACTATATTTCATACCAAACATTGCCACAGAATATACCTACATTTTTTTTATTTTTAATGAATTATTGATAATAAAGTAGTTGTATCGATCATAATTGAGAAATAGATCGTCAGGCAACGGATTAAGCGAGCATTGCTGTACCTACGAGTTAAATAATCCTACACCGCCCACGCGAATACCAGTTTCCACGAAGTTCCGTAGTTCAGCGATCATTTATGAGAAAAACTTCGGGTAAAGTAAATAGGGGAATACTTCGTATAACATAAAACTAATTTCAACCGACTGAGGAGGGTTAATAAAGTATGTTAGGGGAAAAAAACTGTCGGCAGATAGCGTAGAAGAACGATAAAGAGTATCCGGCTGCACCGGACGCTCGACGGCATACTCTCGAGCGGCGGCAGCGTGCATCTAATTAACATTAATTGCCGCCTCTCTCTCTGTCTGTCTCTGTAGAGCAGGTTACATAATTAAATTCGATCGAGTCGAATCGTCCCGACGATTGTAACGCGCTCGTCAGCGTTAGAACCGAGCACAGATTAATTCAAGCATACTGCGCTTCCATTTTCCGCATGATTTCTTCGTGAATGTACTGATCAATTCTATTGAAAATTGATCGTCAATACACTGTTATTGAAATGTTAACACATTGTTCACTGGTCACGAGTTAAACTGAAGTTAAGGAATCTAAATGTTCCTTTTTTAGATGTAAAGTAAATATTACTTTTTTATTGTCAATCGTTGATCTTTGTAGCAAACGTAGATATAGAATGAACATAAATAATTTGTCTTTTTTTAATATATTATTGATGATAAGGTTGTGTGGATCATAGTTGAGAAAGAAATCATGGAGCAAGGGGTTAATAAGTACTAATGATTTGATAATTATTGAACTATTTATAAGTATTAACAGTTTGATTATTATTGTAGTATTAATAAATGTTAGTAATGTGACTATTATTGGACTATCAAGGATGGGTATTAATAATTTGTTTATTACTGAACTGTTAATAACTACTAATGATTTGATGATTATTGAACGATTAATAAGTATTATTATTGAAGTCTTAATTTCTGTATTTGTACAGATATAAAACTAAGAGATTCACTGAATTTCAAGAAACATATTGTGAGAAACATAATGCTTCAATTGATTTACAGTTTATTTTGCGTATTGCTAACTCAAATTCTTTAATCACTTCTCGGAGAAACATCCGTTATCTTCTTAATAATTCAAAAAAAAAGGAAATCAGAATAGGTCGTTGTGACTTGTCTGGTAATTTTAGTGTTAATCAAATTTTAGAATCGGTAGTCCGACCGGTTCGCGGAACGGTTAGGAAGCTAGACACGCGGCTCGTGTCCACGTTACGTAAAGTTTTGTGATCTTGTTGTCTACGGGGATGATCCGATCGGATCTCCGCGTGGATCCGACGGCCCCGTGAATTCCTTAAACTCATTAGACGTCGTCGGGATGCCTTTTAAGTACCGACGTCCGATCTGACGTCTCGACGAACCTTGGTTTGCGCTCGTTGTCGGATTATCCGACACCGCTTTCGTCCTCAAACACGCGTAGACACTTGTTGCTTCACCTTTTCGGAACAGAAAGGGGTCAAAGGGTTAACCCTTCCGTTTCTGAATATGTATTTTCTCCCTTAAACTAGAAAAAGGGCCAAGAACAGCTGATTTCAAGTGAAATTGAAGCTTTTCAGTGAAAGAAATATGATAAGTACTAGTAATAACAATAATTAGCATGGATAATAATTATTGAGTTAAATAATAAGTAAGCTGTTAACCG